AAATAATCAGCAGCAGCCTCCCTCTAGTTCTCAATAGTAAGAGAGAAAATCATCTCTGGAAAATATATTGTGTAAATTTATACAGAAGACCAACCAATATATGACAAAGAACGAAACAATATTGCAAAATTATTCGACAGCCATAAAGGGGTTGGAAACTTAAATAGGGTAGTTGGCACGAACTATCTCAGAAAGACTACAAGGATCCCTACCAAGCAACACAGAAACTAATCTAAATGGACAGGTGCAAGCAATTACAACAAGAAGTGGGGAACAATTGCCTAAAATTACAGTAAAAAGATCAGAAGCAGAGACAAATAAAGTGCCTACTTCAGATGATGAGTAAGCGGAAGGATTTGAAAAGTCAACAACAGTGGCTGGGATTGAATATTCAATTACACAAAAGATAAACAAAGGCATCAACTTTTGTGTAATTGGACAGGGACTTAATTTGTGAATATATACACGCAAAAGCAAAAGGAGACAGCTTCAACTGGAATTAATCACGTTTCGTCAATTTTTGGTGATGTCGTTCTACTTTTGCGTGTTTAAATTGAACATTATGAATGGCTAAATATTTTTATGTTAGGATTGATGATGTAGCTTAGGTTTTTATTATATTTTTAATTTTAAGATTTTCATGTCATTTTAATACTTGTTAATTAATTATTGTGTGTTTAATGCTTTAATTGTCCACGCAACAATTAATTGATTTAAGGATAATACTAAGACCGAGAAGTGATGTATGATTCTAGTCCGTGCAATAATTGACATAGACATTATAAGAGATCGAGAAATAATTATAAGCTATGTGATCTTTGTTGAATTCCTATAGATAATGCGTTCTTATGTGTGTGAATTTACATAGATAGAAATATAGTAAGTTCGGGCATATGAATNAGGTTTTTATTATGTGTTTAATTTCAAGATTTTCATGCCATTTTAATACTTGTTAATTAATTATTGTGTATTTAATGCTTTAATTGTCTGCGTGACAATGAATTGATTTAGGAATAATATTGAGATCGAGAGGTGATATATAATTCTAGCTCGTGCAATAATTGACATAGACATTATAGGAGATCGAGAGATAATTATAGGCTATGCGATCTTTGTTGAATTCATATAGATTAATGCGTTCTTATGTGTGAATTTACATAGAGATATAGTAAGTTCGGGCATATGAAAAAAATTAGTGTTGCTTGAGAAAGATCACTAAATACAATAGGTTAATTCGATTGTTGGCACGTATGAAAAATGGCTGAA